ACGGGGGAAATCTTTAATGGTAGAAATCGTCAAAAATTGACCTTCATCATGCAAGTATTCCATAGGAACCCTATCTTAATCTTTATTTCTGGTTTGGAAGTAAAATGAAATGTTTTCATGGCTTAAAACGTTAAATAAGACAACATACCATATTTTTGACCCGACGCAGATCCGACCCGAATTCTGCCCCGGCAGTCCCTAGTAAAACCCTCATAACTTTTTACTCTGATGTCGATTTGATACGGGGTTTTGTGCGTTGCAAACTAGACTCGTAGGCCTTCAATTTAATGGGTAATAGGCCTTCTAACTCTTTATATATTGGGAGAAAACATCCAATACATTTAACCCCAAAATTTCAGAGAAATCTTTAAAAAGAAACTTACGATAACTTTCGCCAACTTTTATTTTGCCAGTTACTTAACTTCAAAACTTGAGATACAACCCTTGAACACTTAAAAGATGACATACCATATCATTTTTAATTTATTACTCACCCTCTTTGTCTTTCCACGAAGATACGAGTTAATTTAGACGTTTTGAAAAGTCGGGGTGTTACAGTGGTTGTGCAACTTGTAAAAAACTATTATTTACAATTAATAAATACATAAATGGAAAAATAATATTTACTCAGCTATTTCGACCTGCTCAAATATATTCCGAACTTGTGCATTTGACACCTCTAATGGCAACAAACCACACTTTTTCCGCCGAAACCAAGGGGCAACCCAGCGGCGTTGCCCCCGTTTAGAGTATTTCAAAGTTTTCTATATACACATCAGCTTGCGTCGATTTTAATTAATTTACTATGTACCTACAATCTCCCATTAGCCCAATCAAGAGGAGAAGTCGGGATTTAAAGTTTATAGATTCGAAGTTTTAGTTTTAATAAGCTACTAAATTCTAAATTGATAATTCGCACAAGGGTAATAGATATTTTAAGACAAATACAAAATTCGATCCAAAGCTATTGGATTCGACTGAACCCATACGTCACTGTGACAGCTTCGCCCCTGCCGAGAAGTGTATCATAAACACAGATAAAATTATCAACAATCTCATAACTAAATTAGCACCGAATTAAAGCAAATACCAGCAAGACAATTTTAATCCAGAAAAGGATGTGCCTTTTTTTTTTGGCAATACAACAAACTCCAAACCAGAGAATTAAGAAATGTCTGAAATGACTGTTAGCCACTCTGAGTTAGACTCAAATTACAGTTGAAGCCAAAGAAGTTTTTTTTGATGAGAAGTGCATATGGTTAGTTGATCAACATGATAGATCACGATACTTAATGTCACCTAGACACGAAAAACTCATAATCATGGTGCTTGTTGAAGAGTGTTCCTGCACCATTCGTTCCCACAGCTCGTGACATAAAAAAAGCAGTCTGCTGCAGTGTCCTTACTCGTTCTTGTAGAACTAAATCCACAGTCACTTCATTCAGGTACCTTCGCTGAAACCAGCATTCACCCTAGTTTCGCCATTCATAGAAAAGAAACGAGAAAAATAACTACATTAGGTTTGAAGTAAAGAGCGCAAAAAGTACTAAATTGTGAACTTAAAATGCATTCAAAGGTGTAACTACGCAGTTATCAATACCTGAGCATTGTAGCTTTGGAGGCCCACAATTGGGGAAACTACACCGGCAGGGGCGTCAAGTGCTGGCCTCTGTGAATATAATGTCCAAGCGAATGATAAGTCAAGAAAGAAGCATGAAAGTTGCCGGTTGGTATCCTATAAATTGGGTACCATGCAACACAAAACCTGCAAATACACCAAGTACTATTAGAAGTTTGCTCTAGAACTTGAAGACGATTATACTTCGCATACAAAGGACGTATGCAAGCCTGGATTGTTCTTCACATATTCAAAAACTAAATATATTCACTAGAAGCCTTTCCATACTAACCACAAATTGTCTCTGCTTATGGAATAAGGGAACAAAGGAATATAAATGAGTTAAAATGTCCCAATTTATGTGATGTAATAGCTTGACTGGGCACCGATTTACGAAATATGAGAAGACTTTGCAATGTTTCAAAACTACCCTTAAGATAAATAAAAGAGTACACCTTTGTAAACTTTTTGCCAAATAAGTGGGACAAATAGTATCATTAAACATTTGCCAAATATTAAAATAACATTCTTTTTTAGACCGACTCTAAAGATAAGTGTATAGTATAAATTGATGGATCTCAAAACATTTGTCAGTTATATGTCTATACTAACCAAGAATGAGGATGCAGATCAGGTAAGCGCGCGGACTGTAGGATTGATGGATCTCCACGACTTGAAGGCCCATCAGCAGCAACAAGTTCCTGAATCCTAGAATAGAGTAGTTGGAGCAAGCCAAAGAAACAACTTATGATATAAAAAAAGAACTAGTATTGATAACAAAAACAATATAACTAAAATGATAAAAGAAACAACTTATGATGTACCACACACTTTTCAAAAAATGGTTTACGACTTTGAGGTCTTTCTTGTTCGAAATATTCAAACAGAAGTTCATCAGACAACTTAGATTCAGCAGGTGGATCTGCAGCACTGCAATCTGAAGATGCCCAGGAGTCAGAGACAACATTCTCTTTGAGTGAAGAGCTTGAGTTCTCAACACAAGGATTAGGTACAAATAGAGAAAATCTTGTGTGAAAGTCTCCTGTAGGTGAACCCTGAGTTCGATTATCCTTGAAGAGCTGAATGGCTGACAAAGAGGGATTAAAATATGCACTGAACTTCAGACGACGAGTTGTATGTTCCTCTGCTTTTACTTGTAAACCATAGTTTCCATGTTTCTCAAACCACTGCCACAAGTTCCATAAAGAGATATTCGGTATCTCACACCTGCTTAGAGGTGCACCTTGACCACCTTGAACAGATGGACATATAACCGGAGAGGCAGAACGAATAAATTTCTCAAACTCAGCAAGAGGATAGCCCTTCCTCATCTCAATGGCTTCAGCGGCTAGTTGCACCCCATGAGCCTCATTCACAGCCTAACAAACGTCATTTTCACGACCACAAATTGTTCGGGCTTTATCTTGAGGAATCAACAACCTTGAAGCACCGGCATTCAAAGAAGCTCCACTGGTAGGAGATCCTTGTGCAACCACACTCTTATTTCTACTTAGGTCCTTTGGAACACGTTTTTCCTGATTTGTGTCTGGTGCGGCATTCAAAGAAGCTCGACTTGTAGGAGATCCTTGCACAACCACACTCTTATTTCTACTCAGGTCCTTCGAAATACGTTTTTCCTGATTTGTGACTGGTGCGGCATTCAAAGAAGCTCCACTGGTAGGAGATCCTTGCATAACCACACTCTTATTTCTGTTCAGGTCCTTAGTAACGCGTTTTTCCTGATTTGTATCTGCTGATACAATAACATTAGCAGCACTAGGAAGTTTTCTATTCAAGGTAGCATCGTTATCAGCCTGTGACAAATCCAAGTTTTTCGAGTCACGATTGCTTACATCAGCATCCTTCTTCTGAATTCTTTGACTATTAACATTTCCAGCATTATTAACTGCATCAACAGATGAATCATTTCGCACAGCATTGTTATCAGCCTGTGACAAATCCAAGTTTTTCGAGTCACGATTGCTTACATCAGCATCCTTCTTCTGAATTCTTTGACTATCAACATTTCCAGCATTATTAACTGCATCAACAGATGAATCATTTCGCACAGCATTGTTATCAGCCTGTGACAAAATCCAAGTTTTTCGAGTCACGATTGCTTACATCAGCATCCTTACTTCTGAATTCTTTGACTATTCACATTTCCAGCATTATTAACTGCATCAACAGATGAATCATTTCGCACAGTATCGTTAGCTGTATCAACAGTTGAATCATTTCCCACTCTCCAAACGCGCTTACCTCTCTTCCGCCCCATGTGTATATGTTACTATGATAGTTTTTCCTCTCGATAGTTAGATATATCTCAAGCAGAAGAAATATCTCTTCTGGATATAGGAAGAGGTCATTCTAAAACATGCAGCCAACAGTCATCGGATATCTTGCATTCGCATTGATGAATACTTGCCTTTGTCACTGCTTGAACCTAGAAAAGTCACAAAAATGTTAAACACTGAGAAAAACATATTAGCACAAGAACTTTATTTCCTTCAAGTCGAGGCTAATCCGAATAACACCATAAATTCAAGTCAAACAGTATCCCAATGAGCATGTGAAACTCAAATTGCAAACTTCCTTAATGCGGACAATAAAAACAGAGGACCAACAAATAAATGCAAAAACCCATCCTTAATCACTATTTTTGATAAATTACAACTAAAAAGTCACATATCAGTAAATAAAAACAACCAATAAAGAAAGAAACCCCAAAGAAGAGTTTCACAATTGCAAAAAGTAAATAGATCAATTCAATCACGAATATTGTTTTCCTTTTTGATAATTGTGGTGTTCAGGCCAGCCTGTGTGCAACTCAACTAGTCACATGAAAAACTTATCCACCAGGAAGCGGCACTAGGTAACTCTGTCCACCAAGACTACGAGAGATGGAAAGAAATAACCTAGTGTTTGTATCTGGTGGAATTCAAACTTGAGACCTCATGATTCTAAACCCATCAAATTGACATTCTATAATTGATTCATTTTGTTGAAAAATTATATATTGGGTAAATAAGGAAAAAAGATTGTTTTGTATATATACAAATTATTAAGTTCCCTTCAAAATAGGGAAAAGTTTTAGTATATTTGGAAAGCGGCTTAAAAGTTGCTATAAATTGCATGTACTGATCTTATGTGTTTCATCAGTGTACCACGTTTCATATTCTTTTTACAAAGAGGAGAAAACATAGTATTAGCAACAGTAGATGCTAGTTATAATATTGGTTCCAGTGAAACCAATTTAGTCATTAGTAAACTCGAAGTCAATGGGTGCTACAATGAAGAGATTGAAACCTCTAGCTCGAGGACATTACCAGTCAAGAAAGGAAACTTTTCGACGTGGCTCCTCTCTAATAGCTGATACCTCCATTTCCCCTGTTGGGGCTTGAAAATATTACAAGTGTGTCTTTAACAAATAAATGGTCTAGACTTGTTGGTTAATCCAAGTATGTTATGAATGGCAAACGGCGCTAGATCTACCTGATAATAAGTTGCACGGGAATGTCTACGCTCCCATATTAAAGAAGAGTTGAGATCCTCCTTAATATGAGGCAAAAGACGACCTTTCCGATACTATGTTTGACAACTTTATTTCCTCTTCACCTTAGATGAGGCAAAAGTGGGTTTTGCAAAAGCTCTTCTTCAAAGAATAAATGAGCTTCCAATTATTTCATTACAATAGAGGGGTCAGATCTCCTCATCTCACCCGATTCACTGCCAAACAATGATCACGAGAATATTTGAAGTGCTTGGTGAAATTAATTATTGAAGTTGGTTCCATGGAGGGCAAATCATTAAAAAAAAAAATGGAGGCCGGGTCCTTTATACCTACAATGGCAACTTAAAAAAACTAAATGAAAATTAGTTTTAATTGCAAATTCACTTAGTGGTTACACGAAGTTACTTCAAACTTGAGTTGTTAATACTCTTTACAAATCTTATCTTTTTACTGTAACTTGTTTAATTTATCATTGAAAGAGAATATAATTGGTGTGAGAGTGAGATTTAACAATGAATCTCTGTCGATGAATATTTCAGAGATGAAGACATTGAATATTTTTATTTCTCTCGAGTGTTGAGAGATTTCTGCTGAGTGTTGATTGAGAGATTTCTGTGGAACGGAAAGAAGTTCTTTGGCTAAAGAGAGGAGAGAGGTAACAGCGTGAACTAGTAATATTAACCAAATAAATGTAAGATTGATTATATGTTAATGATACACGTGTAAGCAGCTGAAATATGGATACTAGTAAATTGGGGATCGGCTGAAACAGTAGAAGATACACATTTGGGGGTTCGGTGATAAATATCGGACAACGATCTCACTTTCCTTCTCATATTTAGAAAGATCCATGTTAATTCGCTTTGTGAGCAAAGCGGTATACCAAAAAAAAGAAGTCATTGTAGTTTCAATCCCCAACGGGAGAAAATGGAGGGATCAACTAGTAGAAAGGAGCCACATCCGAAACTTTTGAAGATGTGATTTGGTATCATACGAGGGGAACAAAGTTGATGAGTTTAACATGATATGAATGTAACAATATCGACAAGTATGTTTCAAGAAAATAATTAGTCAAGGAGTCGACATTAGAGTGTATAAAGAGGTAACAAATAAAAACATTGACTAAAAGTGAGCCTTATCTTGGCCCGAGTTGATCACGTGGCTTGCAGTTGTTATCTAAAATGTAAGTGGAATCAATAACTATGAAATTTTAGGGTTAAACGAGCATAATTTAAGTAGAATGGATATCTTCCTGGACTAATATCGGAAGATTCAACTAAATAATGGATATCTTCGTTGACTAATATTAGAAGATTTAACTAAGGCAGGTAAGGAGAATTTTGGGTAGAGAACTTTGTTATGAAAGAAGCCTTTCTTGAATTGGGTTGATCGATCGCAAATGTACAAAACCATCCCCATTTATACTTGTCTATGGATGGTTCTAGATATTCTTCTAGTAAACTTTATCTTCTAGGAATACTTTAGAATATCTAGATATTTCTTCAAAATAATTATCCAAGTTACTTCACTAAGACATTCTAGAAACTTTATAAAAAGATCTACGATGTTTCAAGAAAACAACTTTTAACTTTTTTTGGTACCGTTCATAAAAATCAACTTCTCAAGACTTGTATTTAATTGACCGTTTATGTATATATATAAAATTTAAACTTGTGTCATTGAACAAAATAACTGAAGTAGAGCTCTTTCGAGTAATAAAAACCTGATCTTTGGCATCGCACTCGGGGACGAGAGAAAGGAAGGACATGAGGCAGAGTAATTAGGCCATGGAGACATAAATGTACCTGCACATAAAACATCAAGATAGAAAAAATGAATAACCGTAACATATAGCACATAAGTTCTGTTTTTCCGGTAGTTAACCGAAATTTCAAAACCTTCAAACTGAAAACCGAACTTTTAAAAAATTAATACTGAACACCAAGCCCCGTGTTTTACATGAATTACTTTATTTAGCGCAATTTTGCCTTTAAGAGGTTGAGTCTTTGTGCATATATCTATTCTAGTTCCACATTCTATCACACATAAGATTAATTCACGCATAACTTAATACAAGTTTTATTCAATACAACAATAATCATTTTCTCTTTATATAAGCGCCCAAACAAACAATGTATCATTTTATGCTGGTGTTAATTACTCCAATACCACAATCAACAATACACTAGTTAACCAATCTACTATTTGATAAACACAAAAATTCCCATAAAAAGGTTGAATCTCCGCATTGATACACCAATTCTTGTTCCACATTTTATCACATATAAGATTGATTCACGCATAACTTAATACGAGTTTTATTTAATACAACAATCATTTTTCCCTTATATATGCGGCCAAACAAACAATGTATCAATTTATGGTGGTGTTAATTTCTCCAATACCACAATCAAACGACACATTACTTAACCAATCCACTATTTGATAAACACAAAACACATAATTTCTTATAAAAGGTTGAATCTCTACATTGATGCACTTAATCTTGCTCCATATTCTATCACACATAAGATTTATTCGCACATAACTTGCTACGAGATTTATTCAATATAAACATTTTATCCTTATATACGCGGCCAAACAAACAATGTATCATAAAGGTGGTGTTGATTACTCCAATACCACAACCAAACGATACATTAGTTAACCAATCCACTATTTGATAAACACAAGGCACAAACAAACAATGTATCATTTTATGGTAGTGTTAATTGCTTGAATATCACAATCAACATCCACTATTTATAAACACAAAATTATATAAAAAGAGCAAAAAAAAAAAAAAAAAAAAAAAAAAACAAAAAAGAATTCTGGATTACAAAAGCTGACTGGTATGATTTGTTAGTCTTTAAATTTCTTTAATCATGATTAAGAGAAACAGGCAAAATTCAAAACAGAAAATTAAGTACATTTGAGGAAAAAAAATCAACTTCTTTTTTTCTGTTCACTTCTTGATTTTCTCTTCTTTGGTCTGTTACATGATTTGATGAAGCAAAAAAAAAAAAAAGGGGAAAAACACATCTTTAACAAAGAATTGAGTAACAAGATCAATTTTTTAGCACAAAATTAAAGAATTTTGCATGCAAAAACACATCTTTAACAAAGTTATACCTGTCTTTGTTTCGATTTTTTTTTTCTGGATGATTTTAATTTGTTCCCCGCCTAGATCGGCGGCGGTGGGGCGGGGTAGGGGTGGGGACACCACTCTGAAAATTTGGTCTGAGTGTGTCAAAGGTTTGTTGTGAACAAATGATGAGTAAGACAAGAAGAATGCTATTTATACTCTGTCCACACTGTCTTAACCAAGTATGTAATGCTTAATTTGTGTAATTACATTAACCTCCTCTTTAAATTTATCAATTTAAAAAGAGGTACATTGTTAATATTTGGATCAAATGCATTTTGAAAAAACACTATCAAACTTGAGCTTAATATTCATTTTGCCACTTTAACTCTGTTAGAGCAATAAAATTTCACATTGTTTGGAGAATGGACGGGTAGTCTTCTTATATGGATTCGGGGAGAATCCTCATGAGCTAGCTTTTGGGGTTGAGTTAGTATTAGATTGAGTTTTGGGTCTAACTCACACTCATAAAGCTAGCTCAAAGAAAGGAGGAGAAGTCAATTCATCTCAACAACCACCAATGTGGACTTTTGTCACCTCACCTCACGCCCAATGTTTAGCACCTGCTGCGTGGACAATTTTGATTTTGGGGGACCCAACATTGGGTGAGATGGGCCCT